AATGCATTAAAAATTGTATATATTTGTACCAAGATGCTTACAACTTCAGCATAATGTATTTTGACATTTGATATTATATCTTTTCATAATTGATAAACATCTTTAATTTGTGTGCAAAGTGTCTTGATTACACTTAATCTCTGTGCCCATTAGTTATCTGTATGTGATCTTAATGTTGGTTTTAGAACAAACAAGTCCATTCCATCTGCTTGTTGAATTACCCTGCTCCCCAAAATATTTATCCTTCCTACAATACTAAAAAAGATGATCATATTTGAATTCACAGATGTAGCATTTTTTATACTAAATTATGATTATGAACTGAGCAAGGCACAAACTTGGCATAATTATTTTTTTGGAAGAAATATTGGCTTGTACGTTCTTGTATACATCTGCCATATTGTCATAGTGTCAAAAAATGACAAATCAAGAAAATAAAACATGATTATATTATTTAGAAATACGAAAATAAATATTAGATCAAACAGCTAGAAGAGCTGAAAATAGCTGCCTCTAAAGAGTTGAACAGAAAGGGATGAAGCAGATGAATCACTATTTTTATGATAAATATTTCTGAACAAATTGTTAACTTTTAATTTGATAAAAAAAATTACATGCTCTATTCCCCGCTCTGGCTCTGGTGAATCCTCTCACCCTCCCGCGCTTCTGACTGTACCCAGTGCATGTATAAATGAAACAAACAAACAAATAAAAAAAAAAAAATGCCTCTAAAAAAAAAAAAAAATTACAAATGCTGAAACTCTAAAGTGTCCAAAAAAAAAAAACAAAGCAAAAAGCAGCAACAACAACCTAACAAAATCACCCCAAACCTTAAAAATTCTTTATGGATAACCCATATAAGTTTATAGGAACAGAGACTAGACTAATTTGCCATTTCACTATTCGAGTAACAGGTAACCTCTATTCTGCATATTTATGTAGAGATTTGAATTTCAAGAAAAATACTGAGAGAAAAACATATATATATATTATATATATATATCTCCCTAATACACTTGAAAAATGGCAGTTATTTTACTGGATTATAATTCTTTTATGTCTAATTATCCTACTAAATCTTGACCACCTTGAGGATAAGGAAACAATTTATTTTTGTTTCCCATTCAGCAATTCCTGAACATATTATCAAGTATTCTGTAACAGTTAAGAAAAGGAAGAAAGACATTTATACCTACTCCTTTCTTAGCCTCTACCATAGTTACAAGGAAACTACATTTAACTATCAGCCTGGAGGGGAGGAGTCATGGTATATATACAGTTAACAGAAACAAAAAGAAGACAATGTCGCAGTACATAGAATATATGTAATAGTATAACAGAGGTTGTTTTAGGAATGATTGTATAATATGAATTCAAAATACATCTAGTCACTTAAAGGTATTAATTTTCAAAGAGGAAATGTAAAATTAAAATGACAAAGTGGTAGCAGGAAAATATTATTTGGGCATGATAACAATGATTCCATTACAATATATCTGTTCAAAATCTTAAAGATTATGAACAGACTATGCACCATATCACATGTGTACTTAAACACCTGAATTTATTCAAGGTACTATCCACATCACATATATTCTTGAAATAAATACCTGAACCAAGATTGTACTATGTGGCTTTCCAGTCAATACGGCTTCCTTTAACTCTGCTCATGATCTGCTAAATTTTTAGCAAAAGTTTTTTTCTTTTAATAAAAAATAAACTTAGGAAATTTGATTTTTGTATGAAAGGGTGAATTCAGTTGACATACATGAAACAGGGCAATCAAAAGAATGAGAGAGTTTGAGAATTAATTTTAATGAAGTATGAATGTATAAGGAAAGAATCAATGGATGATGAAATTTTGGAGTCATAAATTAGTTTTATGTTCAAGCCTTTACATATTTGGAAACAAGGGCAATAAACCATGTCCTCAGAGACCAAGTCTGCTGGGGATGGAAGAAAAGAATCCTATTTTTAATATCCAGGAGCACAAAGTGAGCTTAAGAGTAAGGTTAAATAAGAACAACAGAGAATATCACTCTATTCTCACCATTCACCACTGGGCTAGCAAATATCAAATGACAACCGAGAGCAGTACTCAAGGAGGAAAGGCAAAAATGTGGAAAAACAGAGACATTTACTGAGGCTCAGTTTCAGAGGGAAAGTATAACGCTGAGTGTGGTGCAAGGTCACTGAGAGAAAAATCTCCAATATAACTCACCTAAAGCATAAGTAAATACTAGAGGTATTAAACCTAGTTATAGCGAGGATACCATAGCAACAAAAAAGCCAAAACCCAAGACAGTTCCTTGCTAGGTGAACCCAAACCACACCAGTAGCCTAAACAAAGGGGAAGGTATGCCATTTTTAGACATAAGTACTGTTTATCTCAGTCCGCCATATAGTATCTTATGTTCAACTAAACATTATATAACACAGAGAAAATCAAGGGGGAAAATGTACTGTCAGGAGACAAAGCTATCAGCAGAACCAGACTCATATGATCCAGCTGTTGGAACTATCAGACAGAAAATTTTAAATTACTATGGACTAATACGTTAAATGCTTTGCTAGAAAAAAGGAGGACAAGAATTTTTATGACAAAAATGCAAATTTCAGCAATCAGAAATTATAAGGATCATTACAAATGCTAGAAGAAAAAAAAAAGAAAACCCACATGACAACAGATGAAAAATAAATTTGATGGGGGTCATCAGTAGACCTGACACAAATTACTGAAACTAAAATAAAAAGAATAAAAAAGGGTGTGTGTTGGAAATGGAAATCAGAACAGGGTATTTAAGGACAGGGGCTAACATCAAATGATACAACATATGTGAAATTGAATCCCTGGAAGTAGAAGATAAAGAAGAGTTTAGCAAAGATCAATCGGGATAAATGCCAAAATTTTTAAAAAATTAAATGAATAGATAAAAGCAGCCTTAAACAAATCATGGTCAAAACAATGAAAACTAAAGATAAAATATTAACAATCAAAGGAAAATGATACATTATATACTTATACAGAAGAAAAGGTAAGAATTACAGTAAGATATTTCATTAGAAAATAGGCAAGCCAAGTAACAATAAAATGACTTCTTTAAACTGCTAAAAGAAACAAACAAAATTGTCACCTAATATTCTATATGCTTCAAAAGAAGCTTTCAAAAATTAAAAATGAAAGATTTTAATGAAATAAGGAAGAATTAATTACCAGTAAATCTGCAACATGACATATACCAAAGGAAGTTCTTTAGGCAAAAGTAATGATACTAGACATAAACAGAAAGTTACATGAAGAAATGAAGAACACTGTTAATGGTGAAAAATGAAGGTCAGTAGAATTTTTTTTAGCTTAAGTTTTGTTCTTAAAAATCACTAAAGAAAAAAGCAGTAGCATGGTGCTATGTACTTATAACTTATATAAAAAGAAAATACATAACAATAGAAAAAAAATCACTGTCAGAAATGAAAGAGAGGATTATCATTGAAAACCCCAGATATTAGAAGGATAGGATATATTACAAAAAATTCTATACATATAAATTCAACATAGTCAATAGAATGTACCAATTCCTGCAAAACCACAAACTATCAAAACTAAAGAATAAACAACAACAAAAATCCTATACTTATTTAAAAATGTGCTTTAATAACTTTCAAATGAAAGAAAACCTTCTATGGTATATAAATGAAAGTTGCTTGGGAAAAGGCTGCTACTTCTATCTAGATTTCATTAATTCACTAGACAAGACAGAAATGCTACTCATAAAATAAATATCAATCTGTATCATTTTGTTGTATTCAGAAAGAGACAAGCAATATTAAGTAAATATTTTAAAAACCGACATCAAGAAAGCAAGTATGTGAGCAAAACTATTTCTACATTCATTCATTAGAGCAGGTAAATAACATTTACACTATAACCCTGTGTGTTATATTCACAGTGCTGGTATAAGTTAGCCAAATTATATTTACTATACATTAAAATTACTTCTATTTTAAAAATCAGTTAAATATTCTCTAAAGTCTAAATGAACCAGAAAATTTAATCATCTGGAAAGATTAATTTCCAAAGTGCCAAATGATGGAGGTGTTTACTGATGTCAGGATGTTTAAAGAGTAAATTTGTTATCTTGGTCAAAACAGAAGCAACTTACAATTTTACCTAGGGTTTGATATTTCTGTGATCACAACAAAAGATAAAAATCTCAATTTTTCTTTCTTGTTAACAATCCAAAAATTATTACTAATGCATATATACTGATGTTTAAAGTATGAGATTCCCCAAAATATTAAAAATAGATCTACCATATGATCCAGTGATTCTACTCCTAGGTGTCTACGTGGAGAATGGAAAATCTCATTCAAAGGGATATGTGCTCTCCTATACCCAATGCAGCACTATTCACAATATCCAAGTTATGGGAACAACCTAAGTACCCAATGACAGATGAGGGGATTAATATGTGGTATCTATACACAATGGAATACTGCTACTCCACTATTTAAGAAGGAAAAAAAATGAAATCTTGCCATTGCAACAACATGGATGGAACTGGAGGGGATTATGCTAAGCAAAGTAAGTCAGAAGGAGGAAGACAAATATCAGATGATTTCACCCAGAAAAATGTAAAATATGTAGAATAAACAGTAACAAAACAAAGGAACAGATAAAACTAAACCAGAACAAACTCTAGAAATCTGACTCTGGATTTGAGGCTACCTGAGGCGGAGAAGACAGTGAGGAATAAAGAGGGAGGAGGCCCAATGGACTGCTGTAGAGGACTATGGGTGAGTTGATGGGTATGCTGTGGTGACATACATCTGAAGAGGCATGAACATATACTTCTGAAGTTACCTCATTAAAAAAAAAAAACACAATTAACAGGATTTATTTGAGCTGAAATGGGGGAAAAAAGAATTGAAATGTTCTAAAATTCATACCAACAATACTTTCAAAGTTTAAAACTTTAAGGTATGAATAAAACAAACGTTACCTCAGACACAGGTTCTTGTTCCTTGTTGGGAGCTTCATTTTTTAATCTTGAAAACAAAATAAGTATTGAATGTTTTATTTTACATTTACAGTGAAAGTTTTCACATATTTAAAATAACTGAAATGTTAATGTAAATTAATGTATATTATATACTATAATTGTATATTACCTCTGTAAATATTTTAAGGGAAAAATAAAATGCATGAGAATAAACATACATAAAATGTGCTAAATAAATACAGATATATTTTTCCTTCCCTATCAACAAAAGTATGTAACAAATATTCTCTATGAGAAGTATAAATTAAAACAAACAAAATAACACATTAGTAAAATAGTTTTAAAAATAATTACTCTTTAACAATAAAAGCTGGCTGTATGCTTTAATATTAATATAACTCATATCATTATTTACTGTTATAGGACTTGAAAACAAAATGTATTTACTCATATGAAATTCAATTAATTCCCTGTCAATATATATTACAATTAATTCAACTCTAAAGACAGTAAAATCACAGAAATAAATTTAGAATTTTGGAGGGTAGATAGTCTCTAAACTTTCATGAGCATAGTTCAGTATTACCTACAAATTTTTTACTTCTTGGTTTCTTAAAAAAACTAACAAAAAAACATTCCATGCACAAAATCTTTTAAAATAGCAATTTAACATAAAAGTGAACTTTTCCAAAGAATCTTTGTTGTAGAAACTGCTGGTGACTATTATTTGCTGATAGTATAAATTAAAATCAATTTTAATCTGCATAAGTAGGGTACCTGCCTGATCTGAAATGCCGTTAATAAAGAGTTAAGTGAATCACAAATTTATGAAGGCTTAAAAGCTATAAAAAGTACATTTAAAATGTAACAACTATGCATGATTTAAGTATTACAGACAAAAATGATGACATGTAGTAGGATAGAAATGTCAACTATTCAAAAGCTACTCTCATGGTGAGTCAACGAAATAGAGAGGAGGAAAACATTCCCCTTTACCCAGTCTCTAAGTGCACTTTGAGGTTAAATACTTTGTGACTTTCACAAGTAGTTAATGTCGACAATAATATTCATAAAGATGAAGTAACATGAAGTGAACAGAATGATTTCAATGCTTTAATGGTTTATATGGGAAAATAATTTTTTAAAGAATAACATTAGAGGAGTTAGAAAACAGGGAAAATTAGTTTGAAAAAACAGTAAATATTAGATTAATGAATTTTTGGAACAAATTTGTATATTACAAGTTATTTTTATTTCTAAGCATTTAATAATTCTATACTCAGTTAAAAAACAACAAACTGAACCAAACTGATAAAATATTTTACAATGCTTTATAAAAAAGAAATTTTCTTTTCAGCTTACTGTAGAAAATATTATCAAAGAAAGTCATCATTCTTATAAAAGATATAATACCGTTCTACCATTGTTACATTATGGCAATTCTAATAAATTGATTTTATGCAGCAATTAAAACAAAATCTATTAAGCACAATTAATACTATTGATGTTTTAATTAGGGAAACTGAGTTCGCATACTATCTCTACAAGGGAAGTTGATCACACACTAAGAAATTTCATTTTACTAGTTAATAAACTGGTAGGAAAGAATAAATATAGAATTAACATTAAGAGGCTCATTTTCTCAATCCTATTTTATGGCTTTAACCATACAGGTATTCTATTTAAGGGAAATGACTATAATAACCAATGAAAATATTTAGAAAATAAATCTAGAAAAAATTAGAAAATCACACTATATAAAATTTCAATTTTATCACTAAAATGTATATTTCATTTTTATAACTACAACAGCAAACATCAACAAATTTTAATACAACTACTATTACATCTCTAATAATTTTGGAAAGAAAAAATAATTTCTTACCTGTAATTCTTATTCATTAAAGATACCTGCTGAAATAGTCATTATTTGAGATATTCATGGTAGAAGACAGTGAAATTTGCTAAGCTCAAAGTTCTGAGCTAATGACCTGCCATTAAGTAATTACTCTCTTCACCTGTGAATATTGCAATCTTTTTTTTATAGAAAAATGTAGTACAACATTTAAAACAAACATTCTGTAAGGTTTTAATGTAAAGATTACAGAAGAATTATCTGGTGATCAATTTTAACATTAAATTAGAGATCAATTTTGCAAATAGTAATTTTACTTCAGTGTGTATGTGTGCATATATACATATATATAGATATACACCTGCTAAAATAGATCTTTTTGATATATTTCCAAGGGTTAATCCTTTTCCTCTGAAGCTTAAAATGAGACAGATATCCCTACCTGCATATTTCTGTAAGTTACATGACCATTACAAGGTTACATATAAAATGTGTATTTTGGTTGAATTACATCAGTGTTCTTTTAAGATTTTCATTCATACTATAACCATGGAGGTGAGGGAGGAGCTATAAGGGAAAAAAATGTTCAAATTTGCTTTAGCCAGGCCATTCTTTCTTTCCAATAACATTTAAATTTTTCAATGCTGATTTTAAAAACGTAATCTTCAATTTAAGAACATTTGTAAGCATACTAAAAAAGCTGAAAAGACTTTGTGTTGGGCTTCCCCTGGTGGCGCGGCAGTTGAGCGCTGGGCTGCGAAGCTGCCCCTAGCCTCTGCAGCGCCGATTTGATCCCCAGCCACTGGCGAGGGCCCCACATGGTGCACAGACCCCTCCTGCCGCGCCTGCTGCTACCCTCAGCAGTGTATTTCGTCGGTCTGCCTGTTCTGTTCCCCGCTCTGGCTCTGGTGAATTCTCTCACCCTCCCACACTTCTGACTGTACCCAGTGCTTGTATTAATAAATAAATAAATCTTTAAAAAAAAAAAAAAAGAGTTCATGCAACTTGCCAGTAGTAATGTCAACTAGTTCTTAAGATCTTCTTCTGAAGACATTCAAGATTAAACTTAAGATAGTAATCATCAGATTACGAAATAATAGTAAAACATCTAATAATCATTTCTGATTATTTGTTCTGGAAAGGGTGAAAAGGGTGAGCTAAACATTTACTGTGTAGCACATACATCAGGTACCATGTGAAGAGTTCAAGTCCAAAGTTAAAACACAGTCCTTCCAAGCCTCCCCTGTGGTCTAGGGGTTAAGTCTCAGCGCTATCACCTCCATGGCCTGAGTTGATTATCCCTGGCCAGAGAGCTAACCCACATATGGCACAGCAGACCTCTATGGTCTCCCCTACTACTCCCCTTAGCAGTATATTTCAGTAAATCTACCTGCTGTGCTCCCACTCTTGTCTCTGGTGAATTCTTTCACCCCCCACACCTCTGTCTTTCATCCTAGCTCTTCCATGCAAAAATAAATAAATAAAATCTTTAAAAAATAAACAAGAAAATAAAACACAGTCCTTCCTTTTGAGGAGCTCACTGTCAAGAAACATATCGTAGCTATTTACAAAACTGTGAAGTGTTAGAAAAGAGACCTCTATATGATGCAATGGCTATACGAAGGACAGAGTCACTATGAAAAGGAAAGAGGCAAGTAAGTAGTGAATATACTACAGTGAACTTGCTCTTGCAGCAAGAGGAGGAATTAACAAAGCAGGGGAAGTGGATTCAAGGCAGAGTAAAAGCAAAGAAGTATGAAATAAGATGGTAATGATAGGAGACCCTGAAAGGTCTACTATAATAGGAAGGTAGGACACAAGGGAGAGTAGCTAAAGATGCAACTAAAGAGATAACAAGGGCCACTCCATGCTAAGAACTCTATTGTAAGGCTAACAGGAAAGTATGACCAGATTTGTGTATTAGAAAAAGGAAGGGAACTGTTAGAAGAGCACAGGCTCCAGTCAGGGGGTCCATTGACAGTTAATGAGTGTCTCAAGGAAAGAAGTAGCATTATCTATCAATGGAGAATGGGTTAGGAAGGTTTTAAAACAAGGTAAAACTAATAGAATATGAGCACCAATTGGATAAAGGTAGAGAAATAGAGGAAATATGTCCCCCACAAATATAGGCCTTGAGTGGCAAGAGGATGGTAATGCCATAATCAAGACAGGGAATTAAGGGGGTGGGGAGTGTATTTTGCAGGAAATATTGTTTTGAACATACTGAATTTGTAAAGCCTAAAGAACATTCTCATGGAAACATTTAACAGAACTGCTCAGTCTTGTATATCTCAAATCTACAATTTCAACCTTGACTACTATTCAAATAAACCCCAAATCATCATCCAGAGTATGATGCTTCCACTTTTATTATTTTTCAACAATACTGTTCAGAAACATCACAGTATATTAGAATAGCCTCGAGTTCCAAGCAGTTACATTATCCAATCACCCCCAACTTAAAGAAATTCTGAGGCCTAAAAATGGTAAATAAATGGTTGATATTTATTAAGCAACAGAACCAATGATAAAAGTAATGGTTCCACTTCAAATTTCCATGGTACTGCCTCACAGCCAATGCCTCCCTTATGACTCAGGCTCCCTTACAGTCATGCCAGGAAAAGTGATACTTTAATTGACCTCTCTGCTTCTAGATGTTTTCTTCCACCCTTAAACATGTGAGCACAATTGCCAAACTATTCTTATCAAAGAAACCACTTATGCCGCTGTTTGCTGAAATGTTCTGCTGCTTATGTAGCAAGTATAGCTCTGTAACTGGGCAGCCAGACTTGGTCCCAAAGCTACAACTTTGTCAGTTGCTTCCTACTCTCTTCTGGAAACAGACTTCCTTCACATTAAAACTCAGTTCCACCCAGTTCCTGGGCCAATAATAAATAAGGCAGAAGTGCATTTGGAACCATACGTACAAACAATGAAATAAGAGTATAGTATTTATTAGTCTCTGAAAACAAACTGCAATAATTTAAATTGAGGCTATATACTTAACAGTCATATGATCTTGGGAAAATAATTTACATATGTACCTCAGCTGTCTACTCCATAAAACTTGGACAAAACAGTGCATATGTCATTAGGTTGTGAGAACTGAGTGAGTTAAAAAATGTAAAACACTTAGAAGAGTGTTTCGAAGAGTGTTTAGAAGAGTGTCTGTGTGTACTCAATAAATGTTA